CTTCCTTGTGCTTTTCCCCGATTTTCGGTGTTCCCTCCGGATCAAACCAGCCTAACACCCTCTCTCTAGGACTCCAGAGTCCATCGCATCCCTTCGTTGCTTTGGACGTGGCGGGCAGACGGCTAATGCCGCTATCGATAGTCGGCGGGGTCGTGGCCTTTTCTGCCTCTATAGTTGGGGACTCCCCCTTTTCCTTCCCCTTCTTGCTGGGTGTTCCCTTATGGTTGTTATCTTTTGCTTCGTACCTGGCTTCGCCCTGACTGGTCCCGCGTCCCTCTCGTGACCCTTCCCCCTAGGGATTCTTTTCATTCCCAACCATCATTTGTTCAATAAGTCTCGCCTTGTATTCTGCGGTCCGCTTTTCTATTTCCGCCAATTTGCGGCGTGCATCCGAGACTTTCGTTTTCTTGGGCGTGGTTCCTCCGGAGTTCCGAGGGCTCGCCCTTTCGTCATCCCTCCCTTCCCTGTTCTCCTGCGGTCCTCTTTTGCTACCCCCAACTTTTCCTGTACTTTCCCCTGTAGAGAGGCCCTTCCCTTCTTCTCCGGTCCCTTCTGGCTTTGCTGATTCCTGATATGACCCCTCGTTCTGTTCCTCGTCCCTATTCGTACCCTGACTCCCTCTGCTCTGCTGGTTGTCGTCGTGTTTTGGCGACGCCATCTCTTTACCTAGCCTACACATGAAAAAAATTTTTTTGCGAATAATGGCCGATTGTTCATGGCTTCCCTAGTTCCAGCCCTAAAACCCGGTTGTTTTCATGCCCTTTTCCATTTTTCATAAGTCGGGACGACACTCCTGTCTTTTCTTTCCCAGGACAACGTTTAAATTTTCCTCCGTCGTTGCCGAGGTCTGGCATTTTGTCGTTGCCCTGCCTCGGTTCTCAGGGCGGTGTCTTAGCCCAGTGGCCTTCCCCTTGAGGATAGCCTTTTTCGGCTTTCTGACACCCAAATGCCCCGGCATTCCTGGTGCAGGTGGTCTTCCTAGTTTCTTCTTGTCGCATCGTTAGGTAGGGCAGAACTCCAACCACTGCCCCCCTTTTCGCTGATGGCTATTTTCTCATCTTAATACCCATCCTTTATTTTTCCCATCTTCCCCCCCCGACGCCTTTCCTTACGCTAATCCCTTAGGTCTGCCTGTTCGTCCGGTTCCTCGAACAAGTCAGCCACCCCGGCAAGGTAATTTTCTCCCATCTTTATTTCCCTAACGATTATTGGTTCGAATTCCTCAAACGCCAAGCGAGGCAACCCGAATATCAAAATTTCAATGAGGTCAAGTAATTCTCAGGCCTGATTTCCCCAGAACGGCCCATGCCTGATCGACACATCGTAAACATCCCTGTTGTCTGTGACCGGAAGTGGTGGACCCAGACCAGGGTCGAATCCACCAGGTCCCTGACCCTCTTGAGGTTGTCAAATACCAGGTCCACCATGAAGCGGGGGACTCGGCACCTCAACCCTGTCATTGGGGTTTTAAATTTTCGCCAACCTCCTACCTCCACCCGGGTTCTCAGTCCCACATTCCCTCTCCCTCGCACTTCCTGGCCTACTCGGTTCAGTACCCTAGTAGCCCTTTGGAAGATTCGTAACAACCCATGCCCTAGCGCCAGTTCCGTTCCTAACATGTGTCATCCAAGTTCTGGTAGGTATGCAGTCCCATTTACCCTGAGGTCAGTATACAGATCGTCCCCTGGTCCCCTGTTAATTCTCATACCATCCCACAAACATTCCACCATCATGAACGCCTGGTCCCTTCCCAAGGTTACGACTCTCCATTCGGTATCGATCTCTCGGACCCTGAGCTTGCTGGGAGTGATACCTCCCATCCGTCTCGCTTTCCGTGGGGGGTCGGGGGTGCGTGGGCCGTCGCGACATCTGGGTGCGTCTCATCGCCGTTTCGATTTAGCAGTCCCCTGCACAGTTTAAACAACAAGCGAGTTTGCTTATTTCATTTATTCTTCGGCCCTTACCTGAGCGACTCCCTGGTCCTTAGCTTGATGCTTCCTTTCCTCTCTATCCCCTTCCCCTTCCTCAGCTCTTCTATCGATATGTTCCTTCCTCCATCGGCTCATACAATCGATGTAGGTCGTCTACGTACGTCATCCCCCGACTTATTTCCCGTTGGACGACGCCCCACAGAACCTCACTGCCTACAACCGGAGCCCTTGGTCTAGTGGTAAACGTGGCGTGCAGGATTCGCAGCACCTCATACTTCTGTTCTCCGCTGAACGACCCCATCTCTAGGAAGGCCCGATAGTATTCTCAGTGTATCATTGTTTCTTCATATGTCAGGCTGGCGAGGTCGGCCACCGCCCGTCTGACAAGTTCAAGGCCGCCTAGCCTTTCCAGCAGAAAAGACGGCAGCCTCATCCGAATATTTTTGCTCGGAAATTCAAAAATTCCAGCCCTAGCTACCCTGAGGTCTGTCGTTACATCATCAAATCCTGGATCTGCGAACTTAAATTCCGCCTCCCATACTAACTGCCATGCCCCTTTCAACATACTCAATGGATCTTCCCCTGATGTCAGCATGACCCCGAACTCGCGCCACCCATCCTCGGACACATATAATCGTCCGTCTGCACGCACATGCCCCCGCGGGTCCGAGTTCCACTCCCCATGCTCATCCGCCCGCCACTCGACCCTTGTTAACAGGTAAACCATATTTTCCATAAGCTCAACCCCGACCCAATCCGCCACCAGGTACCATCCTTCGCTCACGGCCGGCAGACTAACTTCTATCCCACCCTCTACTTCCCCAGGTGGCTCAATGCCTAGGGGGCGATCTTCAAGAAACGTCCTCCTTCGTGCCATCGTGTGCTCGTCCTTGGTCTCCTAGCCCACAATTCGCACCGAACCCTACAAGGCCCAGACATCCCATTCCCTTATCTTAGCAATCTTACCATACTTGCCTGGCCCTGCCGCTTTTCCGACTCTCAATCGAACCACAGTACCTCGAACAACTTAAACACATCGTCTACATAGCAGGGTGTGGTAGCTACCTCGCGGCGGATTATAGCCTCCCTGGTTTCCGGGTCCACTTCCATCCGGTCATTCCTTTCGATATCCAAAATGATGAGGACCTCTAAGGCTCTATCGCCATGGAACGGCCCGTATTTCAGAGATGTTTTATAGAACTCTTCCGTTAGCAAAGCGCAATTCACGTGCACCCGCCCCATAGTGCTGGCTACTTCCTCGACATGGTCAAAACCCCCAAACCAATCTGCTACGAACTCGGGTACCCAGGTCTTAATTCGTTGGCAGGGGGGCCTAAATTCCTTCCATCATCCCATCACGACTCTACTACTGACCGCGTCCCATCCTTTGTTAGCAAATTTCTCGCCCGCCCGTCGAGCCTTTGTCTTAGCATCCCCTAAAAGCCACATCGGGTTCTGCCCTGCTGCGAGCGTTGTGCAAAACATGTGCCAACCTTGTTCCGACAGAACGACCGTCCCGATCGATTCCACTCTTCCTTCCGCAATCTCCTCTCATCCTTCCTCTTCCCTTAGTGGGTTCCGGACGCGTTCTACCCATAGGTACGATAGGTCGGGCACAATTTCAGACCCTACCCAGTCACACGTGGTTCCTCCCCATTTGTAATCTGAAGGTATAGACATTTCTACTCCCCCTCCGACCCATCTCGGTTCCCATCCCTTGGGCGTACAGTCCCACAGCTCGCGCTCCCGGGCCATCGTTCCCTACCTGCACTTGGTCGACAACCCATTCCTGGGTAAGTCCCCACCCCCCTTTTCAGAAGTCCCAGTCCTCTATCTCGTCCCCTTCCTCATCATCATTGAAATCTTCCTCCCCGTCTGAGAACAACTCTTTCAGTCCTTCTAAGAAGGTTTCACCTGCCGCCGCATTCCGATAGATTATTCGCCAATGCACCAGGCTAGGAACAAAGACTTCATCCGCGCTGAGGAGGTTCAATACCTCACCTAGCTCCTCCGCCTAGTTCCCTTCAAACGGCCTTGCCTCTACTGACAATCTAAAAAAATTCTGCCGAGCACACTTGTACAGCCTCAAGTGTGTCATCGACCGGCATATTTGCTCCAGCCTGTCCCTGGTTCCGAAGACTGCATCCACCAGGAACGGGGGTAGTACACATCTCATTGTCCTGAGGGGCCGTCTCATATTTCCTCTGTCCCCGAGCTCCACTCGCACCTCTACCTTTTCCATTTCCATCTCCGCCCGCTGACACGCCGCCCATACCACCTCCCATTCCGCTTGCCTAAACAACTGATCCGGTGTTGTGCCTGATACCAATCTTATCACCATTTCATTTTCCATATCCTAGGAAGGGTAGACCCATCCTCGGGCTTCCACCGTCCCTCGAAATTCTAAGTCCATCAGGCTTGGTGAAAGTCTCGTCAGGCTGACCTTAGTCCAAATCGTCTATATCCAAAGGAACGCATCCTTTTCATCCAGCATCATCGTTTCATAGGCTGGCGCTAGGTCCGTCCACGTTCCTTCTTTCGGGAGGACGACGGATACCCCTTCCCTTACATCTATGGGCATTTCCGGACCACTAGAGTAGACAGCGGGCGACAACCATCGCGCCATCTCGTTTTTCCGGCGCTCGTCCTGTTTCAGACCCCTCACCCGGGTCTCCCCGGCATTTCCTACCCTTTTCCCAAACGCCGCTGCCCTGTCATACCCTCAATCAATCACCCTTAGCCGACATTCCTTTTTCTTGTTTCCATTTCCTTCTGACTCCTATCCAGCCTTATCTTCATGTTTTCTCACTCGTGCAGACTTAGGCAGGAGGCGGGATTAGACTTAGGAGTTCAGCTCCCATCCCAACATTCATCAGGCAACTTTACAAGGGGAGACACAAAAGAAAAAGTCAGGCAAACGTCGCACACAGGTCGGTCATCTCCTCACCCACCTTTTCCCCAGAAATGGTCTCTCCGCTGTTACCATCGGCAGAGTTTTATCTCGTACCTCAAGCACAGCTCAACCGTCGCGAGCGCGGTACCCAGACTCCAGTGGGGGTTCGCCCTCACCTTTTTGCCCAGAATACCCCATCCCGACTTGCCGCTCGTATGCCCACCGTTAATCTCGGGAATCACCCCGCACATCTCGGTAGGGCCATTGGAGCCAGCCGTCCAGGCATTCACTTCCATCGGTCCGACAAGGAACTGCCTTTCCCAGACCAAACTACGACAAGCTACTAATCGTCTCCGAGGCTCCGTCAGCGGTACTCCCTCCGCCAGTCCACAGGCTAGGCCCCGCCTAAAGAAACGTTTCACACCCCGCCCGACAGATGAATCGAGCCGAAGCCCGCCACTGCGCGGACGAGGATGCTACTAAGCACCCGACGCGACAAACTCCTGTTAGACAGCTCGGTGGCCTGACCCTTGCATACGAACAAACGGCAACCTGCAAAAAGAGAACGACATTTGGCAACCCGCAGTGGCCGGTGCAGACCCCTCCTTTCCTTCCGAAAGGTAGGACGCTCAAATCCCCATCATGCAATCACAAGTCTCAAATGGGGCACATATAACACAAATGTCTTTCCCGTGGTGCACCCAGCGCTTCCTACCCATTGCTCACAAATTCTCTCTCACGACAGTGTGTGCCAGTCACCCCTAACTTCCATACATAGTGCCTGGTTCCTTTTCGTGAGCATCTTCAAAGGTGAGCTAGTTTTTCCATGGAGTCTTGCAACTCCCTTCATTCCCTTATCTTTGCTTGTGTGTCCGTTCATAGGGCAGGATTGTTCCTTCTGGATTACCCGTTTTATTCATATGAGGTTCCTTCAAGCATTTCAAGTGTAGTGCAAGGAGCCCGCTGGGCTCCAAGGAAGAAGAGAGAAAGCACCCATGTCGGTCCGATCGCTCCGCCGCGGAATTTTCATCGGAACCCGGACTAGCCCAGAATTCCAACCGCCTGCCAGGTAACCGGAGCCCTTCTTTCGCACGAAGAGGAAGGGTCGACCTGCGGCTTGCCCAAGGCTTCCCTGGTCTGACGAGCATCAGCCCGAGGGAAGGAGGACTAGAGTCACCTCCAAGGGAGATGGTTGATCAAGCGTGCAAGCATGCATGTCATTCCTCCAGGCCTGGCCTTGCCATGCGCCCGACCGCCCTCAAATCTGATTCTCTCAAGGGATAGCGCATACACAAGTCCTTATTCCTTATCTTCAGTTATGTACACGGTCATGCGTCGGACGCCCCCTTCGAGATCGTCCGGGTCAGTTTAACCCAGTGCCCGTCACCTCTACCATTTTTGTAGGCGGCCGTACCCTGGAGGACTTTTCAGCCTCGGTCAACTCCACTGCGGGTCCCATTCGGCTCGACCCGCCCACGCTCACGCTCAGGGCGTGGGTCGTTCGTCCCAGGGGCACCCCCACCTAGTGCTATGAGATGGGTGGGGATGGGCCATTTGCGAGAGGGCTTTACATTGGGGGATGTAGCTCCGCTCTCTCGTCAAGATGGTAGCTCTTTGGTCACTCGTGGCGTTTTCTCGATTCAATTAAGTGTGATCAAGCAATTGCTCCTTCCAATACGCAGGCAGTCCAGGGAATTTATTGAGATTTCGTCTTCTTTCGTGTGTAGGCCAAGCGTCATCCATTAGGCCACACACCTTTTCACTAGGTCTAGTGGCGCAAGCCACCCCCTATGGCATCCTTGGGGTGGGGCGGCATCGCCCGGACCCCTAACCGCTATATTTTTTTTGCTTGAGCCACTAGCATTGCGTCCTCCTATCCAAGACTGCCCTTAGTCCTTCCGGGCTTGCATTGGATTCAAGAGAGCCATTGCATTCAATCATCACACAAGCCACATCATCCGAGCATTCGACCGTCAAACCCATCCTGCATTCATAGTTTATGCGAGGTCTAAATCCTTCCTTATCGAATTTCCCACCTTTGCCCTCGTCAGCGGATCCAGTCCCGATCTGATCATCCCAAGCTACTCACCTATGCAAGACCACACAAAGCAAAGGACCAAGTACAATCCCCATTGGGGTCAACACATCGCCCCTTCCCACAAGCCTAAGTTTCCTTTGCCTTTGTTAATCCCTTAGTTGTCTTTCCCTTCCCTCAAGCAAACCATGCCTTTACCTTAGTCATGCAGTCGGGGAAAATGGTTGAGTCAAACTGACCTCGTTGCAAAAACAACACTCCTTTCGCTTTCTCAGATGCTCACAACAGCCTGGTACCTTTCCTTCTTGGTGGCACAAGGGACCGGCAACCCTCCCCTTGTCCTCGCTTTCCACCAAGTGAGGATCAAGTTTCTTTTCCGTTCGTTCCCTGGCAATGAAACAGGTGAGGGTAGAGGTTAGTCACGTGCCACTGAGGGGAAGGGGTGAGGGGAGAGTTAAAGGCCTAGGCTTTGAGGAAAAGGCGTGAGGGGAGAGAGGGAGAGAGAGAGAGAGAGAGAGAGAGAGAGAGAGAGA